ACTTCCCTTTATGAGAGGATACTGTCCTTGCAATTTGTTTAATTAATGCAATAAAATCCCAAGCCTTGCTGGTCCAAACAGGGGCAGAGTGTTGGCTGTCGTGGAAGGACAACCCAAGGAAACGAGGCTTTTACAGAGAGGAACGGGGTGCGGGCCGGGGTAGCACAGCGGGCATGGCGAGCTGCCTGCTGAGGGCAGGCGGGTCCCGAAAAGCCGAGGGTCAGAGTCGACCACAAGCAGGCCGTGAGTCAGAAGGTGGAAAGAACAGAGTGGGGGCATGAGCCGCCGCGAGGAGCAGAAGGCAGATGCTGGAGCCCACTACCCGGATTCGAATCCGGGTCCACGCGGCCTTGGCCCCAAATGGAGCTCCTCGGCGCCTCCTCCGTCCACCTGTGCCGTGAACTGGGAATGGTCACAGTGTGGATCTCAGGGATGGAGCGTGCTGATGTAATAAGCACCACTTAACTGCTGGGACCGCTACCAGGAGAGAAAGAGTGCAGGTAGCAAGCGCGAGGTATATTCTTAGCTCCCGGCAAAGTAGGTTATGGTATAAAAATACTGCTCAGTAGTAACTAAAGGAGCGTCACCTTCACGTGCATCCTACCGCAGCCTCGCGTGTGTGACTTCTTCCCCAAACACCCTCCACTAAAGATGGGACTCCAGCTCTGGGGCCAGTTTGCTCACCCCTCCCTCAAACGTGCAGCCCCACGCGGCCCCGAAGGGGCCTACACCCCGCCCGCAGGCGAGCGGGTGGCTGCCTCCATGTCAGAGGGGCCGAGCGCTAGGGCCAGCCAAAAGCGGGACAAGGGAGGGATGGGCCCTGGGCGGATGGGGGGCATCTGGGGGAGCAGCCGGGGCAGCAGGCAGTGTTGGCATAAGGCTCTGGGGAGGGAAGCGCTCGCTGGAGGGGGCGAGAGAGCAAACAGCTGATGACTCCTCCCCCCAGCCCTCTCTTCCTTCCCTGGCAACCTGGCTTTGCCGCTCCCTCGATCAGGAGACTCAACCATCAATTTGCTCTGAATATCCTGTTTATCTATTAACTTCCTAGCAGGTCACTCACGGCGGAAAAGCCCATGGCCAGTGAGGGCTCGCGCCCCCCGCAGGGCCTGCTCCCGTCTGACCGGTGGACACGGGATGCAGTCAAGGACACACCAAGGTCAGCCCTGGGCCTGGCAAAGTTCAGGGGGAGCTGACGGGGTGGGGTGCCCAAGGCGCAACCTCCCTGAGCCATGGTTCTGGGTCTGTAAAGTGGGACGGGAGGGCAGCTTCCTGGTCAACTCGAATCAAGTGACCTGCACTTCAGAGGTGGCTCCAACGGGGCCACCTTACCCCCGGGGAGCGTCCAGAACCCCTGAAACCCGGCCCTCGTGGGAGCTTTCTTCTGGGGACATCACCCGCGTTTTAAAGGAGAGAGAGGAGCCCCACAAGTGGCCAGCTCGGGAGCCCGACACGAAGACCTCCCTACCCAACCGACTGTCCAGCGGCGGCGGTCTGCCAGCACCGAGGGGCAGCGCGCCGGGAGCCGCCGCACGCACACGGAGTCACGGGCCGGCCAGCAGCCCCTCCACCCGGGACCAACCCTGCAGAAGGCCTCGCGCCTGGGCGCCCCGAGCTCCCGCACGACCAGAGAGCACGGCACCCGGGAGCCCCCAGGCCTCCACGGGGTGGGGGGGCGGCACCACGGGTCCCAGGCCAGCAGCCACGGCGTCAAGGCCAGGGCGCCACAGGTGACAGGTGGGCCACAGATGGCAGGTGCGCTTGGCCCGCAGCCGCGTGCACACGCGGTCCCAGCGTTCTGGAAAGTGACGACGAGTCCGGCCAGAGGCTCCTACCCGCCGGCTCCGGGCGCGCCCGTGGATAGAGAAAGCGGAGAGTCTGGAAGGAACTGGCAAACAGCGGCCGCGGCTGCGGGGGTTCCCCAGCGCTCCCTCCGGCTTCGCGGGGACGCGCGGCACGACCCAGAGCACGAGGTGCGCGGCGCGAAGAGCTGACGACTACCCCATCACCACCAACCGGTCCGCCGCCTCACGGGGTCAGGGCCGCGTGCGTGCGTGCGTGCGTGCGTGCCTGCGTGCGTACGAGCATGAGCGCGTGCGCAGGGGTGTGCTGGCGCGTGCGCCCTGCGAACGTCGAAGACCCGCTCCCTTAGCAGGTTCCAAGGGCAGCGCGTGGGCCAGTTCCCCAGCACCGCGGCGCTGGCCGCCCCTGGGGTACCGACCGTCCGCTTGTAATGCTTTCTTCTCACTGAGAACAAACAACCGAAACCAGAGGACGGAAGAGTCGGAGTTCTAAATGCTCGGCGGAAGGGTTACTCCCGGAGCTGCTCTTCGGCTCTGGAAGCCGTCCGCCGCGAACGCCGCGGAGAGCGCACGGCTGCCCAGGGCACGCGGGGTCGCGCCTCGCTCCGCTGCTGGGCGCCCGGCTGGGGACCTCCCGCTCCGGGCGGCTCCCGACCCGGCACGTGGGCCTTCCAGCGGGCGTGCCCCACCAGGCCGGAAAGGGCAGAGCCCCGGACAAGAGCCCCTCTTGGCCCTCAGACCCTGCTCCCCAGGGAAGGATTCCGAGCGGGACAGGGAGAGGAGCGGTGGAGGCCATGTCACGCGGGCAGCTGTGGGCCCATGGCCCGGCCCTTCCCGGGCAGAGAGCTCAGCGTCCTCTGACTGGTGCCAGGGGCTGCAGCTTTAAATAAACTTGGACGCATGCACCTGGGGCCAGGGAAGGGACACCCACTGCCTCGGGCAGGCGCTGTCAACAAGCGGCAAGCGGGCACCATGGCCACCTGGAACCCAGCCCTGAGCAGAGGTGCGGGCCTTCTGCTGCCTGCCCCGCCACAGCTCACCCTGCACTTGCTTGGCTTCCCCTACCCAGAACACCCCAGCAGGGCTGTGACAGGCTCCTCAGGTCATTCCCTGGACCCACTACCTGGGGGGCTCCACAAAGGTGTGCTGGGCCTAGCAGAAAGCTTCCTGGCTCCAGAGGGTGGGCCCCAGGTCCTGGGGTGTGTTCCCTTCCCCTCCCAGGCCCCTGCCCACCACGAATGTCTCCCCCACTCCCACTCCGGGCCCTAGCTCCAGCCGCAGGGCAGGCAACCACGTGGCTCCCTTCTGGAAGCTGCTCCCGCTCTTGCTGCCCAGGAGGAATCTGGCCTCTGCTGTGCGGACCCCTCTCAGCCCCTCCCCAGGGCAGCTGAGACCTCCACTCCCCAGTATGGATGTGGGTGCCAGTGGCCAGGATGAACAGTTGCTGCTGGAACCAGAGGCCCCCAGTTGGGTGGGCCTCCCTGTGCCCTACGGGACCCACAGAACCTCCCAGAAAAGTGTAGGGGTGTGAGCAGAGGCAGCATCAGCTTGAGGGAAGGGGTGCCTGGTTGAGGGTCTGTGTGCTCCTGAGCAAGCACAGAAAGGACAAGAAGGTCTCCTAGGAAGGGTGACTTCCTCCCACGGCCACCCTCTGCCTAGGAGAACTACCTCCTCCCTCTGAGGACCCCAGCCCACTACCCCTTCTAGCTTCTTTCAGGCTGTGTTCAGGGCCTCAGGGGGACACACAGCTGGTGTGCTGGACCCTCCCCATTCCTCTGCTCAGCTCTCCAGGCCCCCAGCCTCAAAGCCAGGCATCAAAAGAGCACCCAAGGAATGGAAGGGAGTTTCTGGGCCTGCAGGGCACGGCCTTGCCCAGAACCCCAGGCCAAGGGACTCCTCCACTCCGCCTAGCCCAGCTCCCCAGCCCTCGAGCCTGACCCGCATCCTCCCCCACATCAGGGAGAACGGGGGAATCCGCAGGGCATCTCAGTCTTCCCAGATCAGGACCCATCTCACCAACACAAGCACTATCACAAACGATTTTTAGAAAAAGAAAAATAAGGCTCAGTGGCTGGATGTGTACGAGGAAACCTCGCCAGCGCCCCCACCACGCCGGAGGGCTGGAGGAGGAGTGAGGACAGCGGGGCTCTGGCCGCGCCAGGATGGAGCCCAGGGATTCAGGAGTTCTGGAGCCCGACCAAGGGATGCCGGGGGCAGCCACCCTGATTCACCCCGGGGTCAGAGAGCAGCCCCTGGCAGACTCGGAGTCCGGGCGCCCCACAAGAGCACGTTGCAGACACAGAGCCCAAGAGCCACCTGTTCCCCAGGGGTGAGGCCCTACCTGAACGGAGCCTTTGAAGCTCCTCCCCATTTAATCTCCCACCCTCCCCCCTCCCCCCAGGCGCGTCAATAACCCACCCAAACCCCCCCCCCCCCCCCCCCCCCCCGCCTACTTCGATGACCCTGAAATCAGGAGCCCATTTGGCTCCCCATCTCACCCCCTTATCTCCACCCCCAGGGACCTGCCAAGCTTCCTGACCTCAGCCCCTCAGCTCTCCTGACTCGTGTTTCCAGAAGAATCTGGGGGAAAATCCTCCAAAACCCTGATTCCACTGGGGACCCGCAGCAGAGGCTGTTCCCACGCGGCCGGGAGCGCAGCGGGCACCCCCGGCGCGGATGGAGCCACGCGGAGGAGCAGGCGCCTAGCAGGTCCCGCCGCCCCCGCGCCTGGCCGCTGGGGTGGGGGTGGGGACAGCGCGGCCCGCGCCAGGAGCGACCCTCGGGCCAGAGCCGCCCCCTCCCCCGCGCTCTAGGCCCCGCGGCCGCCCCCGCGCGCCGCTCCTTTCTGACCTCCCGCCGCCAAATGCGTCACGTCTGCCCGGCGCTCCGGGGACACCTGCTGCCGCCCCCGCGGCGCCGAGCCCCGAGTCCCGAGTCCCGGCCTCTGGCCCGGCGGCCACGCTGAACAGGGCCCGGCAGAGCTGCGCGCGCCGAGGTCCAGCAGCCTGGCCCAGGGCCCGGGGGTCGGGGCCGCGCGGGGCCGTGCGCTTCGGGCCCCGAGCCCGGAGGAGCCGGGGGCGCGCGGGGCCGCAGTGCGCCCGGAACCAGCGTCGCGGAGGGTCTTGGTCTCCGGGGTCCCAGCCCTCCGCGCGCGGCGCCCTCCCGAGTCCCCGCCCGGCCCGCACGCGCCGTGGCTCTTACTTGCCAATATCCTCGTAGAGCTGGTACTCGTCGGTGAAGCGGGTGCAGGTCACCGTGGTGGCCATGGCGGCGACAGACGGGCTCGGCTTGCGCTCTGCTGCGCTCGGGCGGCGGCGACTCCGGCTCCCGCTCGCGGGCACGGCGGCGACACGGGCGCGGGCGCGGGCGACACCTCGGCTCGCGGCGCCGGGCGGGGGCCGGGCTGGGCTGCGCCGGGCGGCGAGCGCACGCGAGATCTGCGCGCTCCGTCCCCGCCAGGAGCGCGCCGCACACCTACGCGCGGGGAACGCGGGCTCGGCTGTCACCGCCGCCGCCGCCGCCGCCGCCGCGCCCGCCGCCCCTGCACGCGCCCTGCACGCGCCCTGCACCGCACCGCTCCCGCGCCCTGCACACGCACCCGCACGACTCCTGCACCCCTACCCTGCACCCGCACACGCGCCCTCGCCCTGCACACGCACCCACACCTCTCCCGCACATGCACACGCACCCGCACCCTACACTGACACACACACGGGTCACATCACCTGCACCACTCCCGAAAACGCGCCCGCACACGTGTCCTGCACCCAGGTCCTCTCCCTGCTCACACTGTGCCGGGACCCGCACCCGTGCCTGGGCGCACGCACACACACACACCCAGGCACCAGAAGCCACCTAAGTCAATTTCTCTGTTCCCTGCTGGAGACCCCTTGGGCACAGGGGACTGCACACAATGAACCCCGCCCCCAGTCCCCTGAATGCCCACCTCACCCCAACCGCAAGAGGACACTCAGGCACACATGGGTGGATGGGGCACGTTTGTCACCCTCCAGAGGACATTCCTCACACCACCAGGAGGAGATGCAGCTGGGACCCTCCTGTCCTGTCTCCAGTACTCCACACACTGCACAGCCTTGTCCCCCCTGGCAGAGTTGCCCAGGGGCCTTCCAGACCAGTATACACACTGGGGACAGTGGGTAGCAGGATGAGAGGGTGGGGACGGCCTGTTCCCCATGGTCCCAGGGCCCTCTCCCTGGATCCCTGAACACTCCGCGCTGGGGTGCCCCGGTGCAGGCGGAAAGGCAGAGAGCCCTTGAGTCAGGGGAACAGGCCTGCTCCAGCTACGGTAAGTCAGGAGTCCAAATGCCCAGCCCTGTGCCCCGCTAAGGGGACACGTTCTCTCCTCTCAGGCCTAGTCCACCTGTCTGCCCCTGCTCTGGCCTAGAAGAGGGTCCATCCTGAAAGTGACCCTGGAGCAGAGGAGGAGGAGAGAGCAGGAGGGAGGGGCAGGAGAGGCTGGGCTGACCCCATTTCCCACAAAAGAGCCTTCCCCTAGGGCCACACCCAGGCTGCCATCTAGAAGCAGGACTTGAGAGCTGGCAGAGGACTCCCTGGGCTCTGGCAACCACACTCTTCTGAGGGGACAGGGCCGGGGTCTGTCCTGGGCAGGCCCTGAGGACAGAAGTTTCCAGCAGCCAGCTCCTGATTTAGGTCGTGCAGTGGCCCTGATGTGAGCTACTTACTGTACCGTGGGCTCCCCAGGCGTAGGGTGTGGGCCTGACCTGCACATCTCGGTCACCTTGGTCTGTGGCTCACCCCAGAAGCCACAGCAAGTGCCTCTTGAGCCAAAGGTCAAATGAAGGCGCTCTGGGGTAGGGCAGCCGGGGCCTCCTTGACCCCAGGGGCCTCCGGCACCAGGCTGTCAGGCAGGGGAGCAGAGCGGGTGGCAACCAGTTCTGGTTCTGGCTGGTTTTACAGAACCGATGGGCACCCAGGAGGTGACCAGAGGCTGAGGACTACGCTGGCTTGGAGCAGGGGCACCCATGGGGAAGGAGGGTCTGACCTTGACCTCAGCGGTGCCAGGCCAGAGGGGAGACCCCTCTCATGCCTCAAACCAGGACGGAGCATGCCTGGCTTCTGGTAACAGGCAGATGGCCACCCACCTGGGGCAGCAGGCGCCATGGTGTTCAACCTCACGGGCTGCTGGGCCATCCGCATCCTTCGGAGAGTCCCTCACAATAGAATACAATTAGCAAAACAAACAAAACGAAATTGCACCTCTCCACCAGCCTGCCTCTCCTGAGGCTGCCGCTAGACCCTGTGTGCTTCCAAGGTCAAACACACTCCTGCCAGGATGAGTCCAGGCCAGGATAAAGTGGTATCAAAATCATGGAGACAGCTGGCATTGATTTGCTTACTTGCATTTTACATGTACTACCTCATTTAATTCTCAACCCCACAAGGCATATACTATTATTCTCCCCATTTCACTAGATGGGACAATGGAGAGACAGAGGTAAAGTCACATGGCCAAGAGGTGGCTGGGACTCCAACCCCCCTGCCCCAGAGACCCTCCCTTGTCTTGTTTATTTTCACACCCATGCATGCACATGTGGGCACGCACACACACAGAGAATACACACACACACACACACACTTCCTGCAGCCCTTGGCAAGGACAGAGCAGCATTCTGGGTAACCTGTGTTGAAGTCCCTCTTTTCTCTGCTTGGGGAGGCTGCCCAAGACCAAGTTTCCCCAAGAAGTCAGGATCACTAAAGGGTTTGATTTAAGGCCCTTGTTCTACTCTTGTCAGGAACTGAGGTTCGCCCAAGCAGCCCCTCGTCTGGGCTGGAATGTTCAAGGTATGATGTAGAAGGAATCAGAGGAAGGCCGGCAGGGCAGGCTGAGCTCCTGAGGGGGCTCAGACTGCTCCTGCACCCCACTCACAGAACAACCTACTCTCCACCTCCAGACTCCAAGAACTCCTCCCCAGCAGAGTAGAAAGCTGGAAGGGAGAAGGGCTGCCAGCCATGACTCTTTCGGGAGTCCCAGGCCCCAGAAGCCCTGTCATCTGGCTCCATCCCCCCAACCCTCCTTCAGGAAGGGCCCTCTTCCACCCGCACCCCCACATCATCTCTGCCTCCCACCTTATCCTCTCTAGCTGGCTTTCATCAGCAAGGAGGGCTCTCCCTCCCAGGTGGCAGCTGGGGCGGGTGTGGGGAATATCAGTTCTGGGAGGTTATTGTTAGGACAGTCACCATGGCAACAAGCATCACATCTGCAGAGCCAAAAGTGCTGCACGTGGGGCTCATTCTCCCAAGGAAAGACACAGCCTTTCCTGTCCCCCTCACCTCCAGGAACGGATGTCAGTGCCACCACCTCTCCCAGACCCAGCTATCTGCCTGGAGGAGCAGGCTGTGGTTCCCCAAAACAGGAAGACCCTAATCCATCAGTCTCCAATCACCTGGCCCTTGACACGGCAGCAAGACATCATGGCAGGTATGTGGAGAGATGACAGTAGTGGTGTTGGTAATGATGATGGTGATGATGATGAAGGTGATGATGGTGATGGTGATGATGATGGTGATGGTGGAGATGGTGATGATGATGGTGATGGTGACGATAATAGGGATGATGAATGTGGTGATGGTGATACTGATGGTGGTGATATTGATGATGATGGTAATGATAGTGATGAGGGTGATGATTCTGATGATGATGAAGGTGATGAGGGTGATGATCATGATGGTGATGAAGGTGATGGTGATGATGGTGATAGTGATGATGGTGATGATGATTATGATGGTGATGATGGTGATGGTGATGACGGTGATGATGATGGTGATAGCAGTGATAGCGATGCTGGTGATGAGGGTGATTATGATGGTGATGAGGGTGATGATGGTGATGATGGTGATGACGATTATGATGATGATGATGGTGATGAGGGTGATGGTGATGGTGGTGATGGTGATGGTGATGAGGGTGATGAGGGTGATGGTGGTGATGGTGATAGTGATGATGGTGATGATGATTATGATGGTGATGATGATGATGGTGATGAGGTGATAGCGATGATGGTGATGAGGATGATTATGATGGTGATGAGGGTGATTATGATGGTGATGAGGGTGATGGTGATGTTGGTGATGATGATTATGATGATGATGATGGTGATAGCGGTGATAGCGATGATGGTGATGAGGATGATTATGATGGTGATGAGGGTGATGGTGATGGTGATGAGGGTGATGGTGATGATGGTGATGATGGTGATGAGGTGATGGTGATGATGGTGATGAGGGTGATAGTGGTGATGGTGGTGATGGTGATGATGGTGATGAGGGAGATGGTGATGATGGTGATGAGGGTGATTATGATGGTGGTGATAGTGGTGATGGTGATGGTGATGGTGATGATGAAAGCCATAGCTACAATTCACAGTGTACCCGCTACATGCTGGAAACTTCTAAAGTTTCTACACCCACCACTTCATATAAACCTCATAGCAACCAGGCAAGATACGGGTTATTGTTATCCTCCTTTTACAAGTGAGGAAACTGAGGCACAAAAGGATTCTGTAAAGCCAATATTGCCATTCAGATCCACATGACTTTATAGCCAGTGCTTTAACCACTGTGCTCTGCTCGTGGGTGACCACTGGCCTTGTTGGTGTGGCCACCATGTAGCACCTCTGTGCTCAGCGCTGCCCTGGCATTGGGTCACACTGGGGACAGAGGTGGACAGGGTTGCTGCCTTTGCAGGGCTTATGCCCAAGACCAGCAAGACACAAACCAGAAGCCATCGAGCAGTCATTTTTGTTCTATACAGATTTAAAACGAAGTGATTGGCTCGATTCTGACAGGGCAGCAACTTCAGAGTGGGTGCTGCGGGGGGGTGCTCTCTGAGGAGGTGACATTTCAGCTCAGATCTGAGTGACAGAGAAGGGATGAGAGGAAAGAGCACTGCAGGCAGAAGCAGCAGCTGAGCAAAGGCCCTGTGGCTGGAACCAGGAATGAAGAAGGTGAAGGAGGGGGCTGCAAAGGTAGCCCACGTGCCGCCATTTGTCCGTCTGCACGTTCTGCTCAGCACCTGAGTTCTGCAAGGGAGTGTGAGCTGTCTGAGCGACTGACAAACAAGGAAACAAAGCTAGCCAGCAAGCCGGCGGTGCCCATGGGCCTGTGCAAATATCCTGCCCGAGGCCAGGAGAGCACAGAACCTGCAGAGCTCCTTCTCTCTCAAGAGGCAGCCGAGCACAAGGTGCATGGCACTGCATGTCCAAGAGGGGCTCCCTCTCTGGCCAGAGGGCGTCCCTCTGCCAGACACCTGTGGGGGCTCCTGCTGAGCCCACTCCCAGGCCCGGGGCTGGCCCTGCTCCTGCCGCTCCCCAGCACCCCGCC